AGTTCATAAACTATGCCTACCAAAAATTTAACTCTGCAGTATAATAATTAAGGCAGACTCTCATAGTGGTATCATTTGTCAAGCAAATGTAGGCTTTCTGGACTGTGTCCTGAAAGAAATGTATGAAGCAGGGAACCACTGTCTCAGAGTTCCCTCTGTTGGATGGAAACCACGTTCAGAGACCAGGAGAAGTTTGTGGTAACTCTGCCAAGACTTGCTCAGAGTGGAAATTGCAGTTCGGGGAGGCCTCTGGAAGGCAGAGTGCGCACAGGTAGGTTCCGCTGGCAGCTGCTGATGCTGGTCTGCCAGCTGCAGAGGTGATGCGGATGGAGGCTAGCAGGTGTAGGGGTGCCAGCGGGAGGGAAGGGAGGCTCCCCTGCAGGCACGGGAGGAGCTCTTTCCCGTGTGAGCTCCCTCCTCGGTCTGCAGATGGTCCGCACAGGCAGGCCGAGGAGCCCTCGCTCTGAGGCTGCCCTCCTGCGCCTCTGATGTTGCTCTGAGACGGCTGCTCAGCGTCTTCCGTGTGTCACGTCGCAGGTCTTATTCAGCCCCGAGCTTGGATACCCGGCTGTCCGCTGCCCATGTCTTCTCAGAAACCCCACAGTACTTGAGAACTACTGGGCTCTAACAACATACACCAGTTCTTTTTTTCCTACCAGATCTGACCTGCGTCTTTTTGGTGGTAGTTCTATGATTTTGTTTGATTTTTTTTTTTTCCCAGCTTTCTTGAGGTTGGTGTTTGTTTTTTATGCTTTGTTTCCATCGAGGCATAATGTGCATAATATGTCTTTTTCTCGCTCAGAAACTAAGGAGCCCTCTATGGCCCCGGGCTTATTTTTCGGTTTTCTTTGGTCCTGTGGATTCTCAGTCTTGAGCGTGTTCCAGAGGCGCTTACTCTTCCTTCTCACACACCTGACTGGCCACCACCATGTGTCATAGGGGGCTGCGGGAGCCACACAGAGGTTATCTGTCCTACTCAGATCCGTTTTCCACAGTGCAGCCAGAATACTTCTTTAAAGCACATTTCAGTTGGTCATAAAATTCTTCAGTCTTACTTACTGCGGTGTATTTATACTTAGAACAGTACTGTCTGTCTGTCTGTCTTTTTCTTTTGTCAAATTATTGTCTCCTGGTTACTGTGAAGAGAGGCAGGCTCAGTCGTCTTCTTCCAAAACTGATGAGATGCGAGCCTTGTGGTGTCACACAAGTACCAAGAGTGTTTGAAGAGATACTCACACAGCGAGAATGTCTCAGGAGAGCAGGGGGGCACCCCGGCATACAGAGACCTGTGGGAGGGAACCGAGGTGCGCTGGGTTTCAGTGTGCTCGGGAGGGGGCAAGTGATGGCGCTCACTGCAGCTGGGTTTGCAGGATAGACCTTTCTGTGGCCAAGGTAAGAAACTTCATTTAACATGAAGCTTTGCTATTAAATAACACTAGGAAAAGCACTGTTTGTATACCGCAAAGTCAAAAGGAATATAGAGCACACGCATACGCCCTGTCACAGAGTGGAAGGTCACAGCAAGCTGCTGGTGTGCCACCTTCCAGATACTTAAGTGGGTTTTTAACATTAACGATGCAGCCATATTTTGCATTTGTAATGTGCTTCTCTGTGCACCTTCCTTTCCACGTGATAAGAGGAAATTTCTGAAACATTTGGAATGCTTTATTGATAAGTGCTAAATACAGATGCTTTTCCCTTTTCATTAATGTTTTTTTCTCCTTTTCTACTGGGTTTTCTTAGTAACTGTCATTATTATTTTAAATTCATTAGAATAATCTCATTCCCACTTGTATTCATTAAAGCTGTTTTTTAACAACTTGAGTAAAAGTACGGAGAACCACACAGGAAATGTGGAGTTTTGCTGGTGCGGTGGCAGCGGTGCGGTGGCAGCGTGCGTGTGTCTCAGTGCTCTGGGCGGGACTGCCGTTCCGTGGCTTACTGCCTTTGGCGCTCGCTCAGTTGTGGCCTTAGCTGTCAGTTCTGGCCGGGTGTCCCTAACATGAGCTTCTTCACAGTGTTCAGATGTACAAACAGCCAGATGGGTTTGGTTAAATTACATGTGTCATAATGTTCATTCCAGAAATCAAGGAACCATAGGTACTTGATCCAAAAAAAGGAGAGGAAGAAAACCCTCCTGAGTCTGAATTAGAGTGAGCGTGTGTTGGAGTCGTCTGATGTCCCCTGTGCATGTCATGCAGTGTTTTCTTCCATAGCAAGGGTGATTCTCTATGTGTGATTTTAGACAACACCCCCACCCTTTTCGGTTAATGTCTAGTACTTTTCAGTGGAAGGAATTTTTTTTTTTTTAAGGTAAAATACAGTTTGTATTTCATACTAACACTTCCCATTGAAATTTGGGAACATAGAGGTTTTAATAAATTTGCTCTTAAATCTTGAATGCTTAATTGCTCACATCTTTATCTCCTTTTTTCTAAGATAACAATTTTTCAAAAACACCACTACAGTAAGTCGTTCCATTTACATTTGTATGTACGGAATCATTTTAGGATAAAATTCTAGTGCTGTGACCTCTTAATATAATTAATCACAATAGTCTAGGACTTGCCTGTACTTACTTTATATTTTCTTTCTGAGCATTATGCTATCATCTTGATATACAGTTCACTTTTGTTTTTTACTTACAAGAGTTTATTGAAATAATTTTTAACATTGAGAAACAAAGTTGATTGTTGTTCAGCCATTTCTGATCTTAGTGTCCTATTTTAGGACACATACACATGTGTAATGGGTAGAGCAGGGTGATTGGTACAGCCATCACTCAGATGTTTAGTTTTGCTTTGTGTTGGAAATCTCCAAACCTCTGTGCTCTTTCGAAAGCTGTGGTGAAATGCTGTTGACCAGAGGTGCTCTTCAAAAGTGTTACAGAAGAGTAGACCTGACTCCGTAGCTGGTCCAACCGATTGTGCTCTCTGTCATCATCCTTTCTCCATCTGCCCCTCCTTTTTCAACTCTGATAAAAACCACTGTTATACTCTAATGATATCAGCATTTTTAGTGAAATACTATTTTTAAGATTAAAAGATTGTCCCAAACCTAGTATGTTTTTATCCCCAGTTAAAACCTTGCTGTGTCTACACTTTCATGATCTGAGAGCCACAGAGTACTGCGTTGTACGACTGTACCATATTTCCTGTTTGACCGTTTTTCTACTTTCAGACAAGTCGGTTTTGGCTTTTTACTATTCCGAACAGTGTGAACTGTGCTGCAATGCAGTGAGGATACTTTGGTCTATTTCTAATGGACAAATTCTTAGGAACAATGGTTTGCCTTTTTCAAAAAGCACCTTAGCTAAATTTTGATAATTGAATTGTAGGAAGTATGCATTTAGTCTTATCTCCAGTATAGATGAGTACAGTGGTACCTCAGTTTACAAACTTGATTTTATGATTTCAGGGAAGGTGGCTGTGTTTGTGTTTGTATAGGGAAGATGGCTTTGGTAGTATTTGTCAGCCTATGTGGAGTTTGTGAATAGAAGCAAAATTTTGCTGAACACTTTTGTTTGAGAACTGAATTGTTTGCAAACAGAAGTGTCCGTGAGCCGAGGTGTTATTGTGCTTGATTCTTCCCCTTTATCATAACGCATCATTGTTGTTAACATTCTTTCCTTGTATTGGATTTGCTGGTTGTTTATTTTATACTTATAAATTGTCACACCTTTTGCCATTGCTTTATTTACCTTCATCTTTTGTTATCTTTTTTCTTGGTTTTTAGGAAGCCTATATATTAAGAATAACAGATGTTTTCAGGATAGTAACTCTTTCTGGGACCAAAGTTGAATATTATCTAGAGAGTTTTGGAAAGATAATTTTAATTCAAGTTGTTTTTAGTCTTCACATAGCCCCAAACTAGAAATATCTTGATGGAATACTTCATATGAAATAGTTCTAATTTTATGAATTTTTTGTGATACATTAGGTGTCCCCTATTTTACCAATTTTTAATGACCATACTTTCATTTATAAATCCATATTTTTGTGATTGTTTTACTTATATACACTAAGGAGTGTCCTTAGTATATCAGATCAGCTCTTAGATTGTAAAGATCCCCCAGTGGGTTATAGGTCAAATGGAATTCATTACCATAGAAGTAATAAAATGACAACTCACACCTAAAGACTAAATTTGGGCTGATTCTTCACTCTTTTCAGTTATTCGTGCTATCAGGGAAGTGGTTGAAAGCCTGGACACAGAAGGTAGACCTTTGTTCACATTCTATTTTGGTCAGGACTGTAGAATTTCTGTGTAATAGTCTGGTTACGTGAATGTAAGAATCATGTTATTTACTAATAGAATTAAAGTTTTGATAAAAGAATTATTATTTATGAAATGCTTAGAACAGTCTCTGCCACATTAGTGAGCACTATGTATGTTTTATAATGAAAATAAGCATCTACTGGGGAAGATTCCTAGGAAGTGGGAAGACCTGGAGAAAAGTGTTATAAATAGTGTATTAAATAAATTAGTTTGTTGTTAGCCAGCTTTCTGTCACTGCAAAACAAACAAACAAACAAAAAACAACCCGAGACAATCAGCTTACAAAGAGAAAGGGTTTCTCTTTGGAGGTTCTGGTCAATAATCATTTGGCTCCTTGACTTTGAGGCTGTGGCACAGTGGCACATCATGGTAGGAACACAGGGGAGAGCAGAACCACACACTTCATGGCCAGGAAGCGGGGTGGGGGGAAGCCCCAGGGTCCTTGCAAGGCCCATCTTCTGGGACCTAGCTTCCTTCCACCTCCTGTAGAGTCCCACCTCCTAGGAGTGCCATCCTGCAACAGAGCCTTTGATGAAGCCCTTGGATGGAGATTCAGAATCTCAACTGTGGCTGAACTGAATGTTTTTAATTTTAAAAATCTGTTTTATTCTTAATGCAAACACTGAATGAATCCAGGTTATCGTTTTGATGCTGTTTTCAAAACTAGTAGTCAAATGCGTTCCTTGAGCCCAGCTTTAGTGTTTTGCTGCTTTTGTTTACAGGATATTCTGAATAATCTTGAATCATGTGACCTTGAGGATGATGATCTTATGCTTGATGTGGATCTGCCAGAGGATGCACCTCTTGACAATGGTGAGTTGGAACAGTACTGAGCCTCCAGAGGTGTGTACAGTACTTGAGCCCTTTGGCTGGAGCCAGCTACAATTTGTTCCTTGTAGACTTCTTAATCTCATTGCAGCCTTCTGGATTGATAATCAGTCTTAAGTAATATAAAATGAGTTCATTTGCAAATCAGCTGCTGTAAAAGCTGATTTTCTAGGTCATAGATATTACTCTGTGCGTTTCTATACATTGTTTACTTGTATCATGAAGTGGTAGAAGGGTTTGTCTACGATGTGATGAGAGGCCAGTCTCTAGGAACTGTAGGTGGATTTGGCAATCCTGGCTCCAGAGTCCCTTTAGGAATTAAGCAGGCATTTACAGCTCTTAAATCCTGTAACAACCTCTATTTGTTTGACTTCTTTGGAACAACAAAGACAGGAGTATTCTAAGGGCTAACAGCTTTCTAAATGGCCTTGTTGTAATTGTTCTTCAACTAATTTGTTTAGTTGAGTTAGCTTCTCCTTTCTTAAAAAGGGGTCATTGATCTACCCAAACAGGCTCCTTAGTTTTCCATTGTAAAGGCAGAGCTGTTTTGCGGGGGAGGGGGGGGGCATCATTGGTCCTTTAAAAAAACCTGTTGATATCTAATACCTTGTCTGTCATCTTTAGGTGTAATTTAACAGGCTCTTTCATTTTCTGTAAGTTTTTTTCGTAGTCCTTTGTCTTTTTGATATCCCATTTTAATCATTTTCTTAATTTTAGGCTTTGAATCAGTTTGTTCCATTTCCAAGTTGGAATTTGTTTGTTCAGCTTTAAAACCAGAATTGCTAGTCAGCACTAATTTTCACTTTTGTAATAAGTCTCTTCCCCACAAGTTAACTGGAATAGGTGCCATGTAAGGTAAAAAGAAATCCTTTTGTTAGTCAGGTCCCTCATAAGGCAAAGGTGAGGCACTCTGTAAAACGCGCTGAGGGATCCCCAGTCTGATAATGGAGGTGGGGGCCCTTTGTGTTGGCCATGTGGCAGGCCATTGTTCTAATGTAATTATAGACACATCTTCACCAGAGTCTATCAGACTCTCAAGGTATTTCCCATTAATTTTTATAAAACACATAGGCCTGTTTTTAGTCACTTCCTGCGTAAAATAAATTTCTCTTTTTGTAGTTTTGCTCTGAGGGTCTTGCTCCCTCCGGAGCTGTGTATACTTAACAAAAGAAGGCTTCTCTATAGGTAACGAAATCAACTGTGCTATATAGTCTACCTGTTCAAAAACCCAGATGTCCATAGTACATGTAAGAACTTGTGTTTCATCTCTACAATCACCATCAATCACACTAGCCACAGTAGTTATTCCTTTTAAATTGAGATCGGCCTTTCCCAGCACAAGATCAGCTGTTGCTTCAGAAACCCAACTGTTTCTTGTCTCAGAGAGCATTTCTTCATTTATTGCTGGATGTGGATTGGGATTGGTTTTATTTTTATGAGCCTGCTGCAAGACAAGAGTTTTCAGCTTTACATCAGAATGAAGGAATTGAGCCGGAGACAGGCACGGTTGTGCTAAATGTTTTATATCATAAGCTGTCAATTGATACGTATCCAAAACATTTTGCAAGAGTCCCACAGTAAATGGACTTTGGATTCTATTGTTAAGCACACTTTAAGATTTTTTAGCAGTTGTATTTCAAAAGGCTTATGATTGAATACTCCTGATCATTATCATCTGTTAAAATTCCAACTTGGAAGTAAGTGGGGAGCGTATTATTTGTTTTCTTTGTGGCTGCCTCTTCCCACAAATCTGTAAGTTTCTGGATAGAGCCCTATGAGATATTTTTTGTAAAGGCTCTGGCTTCTGCTGAGGTGATCCCTCTAGGGATTTTGTTTTGGGGGCAGACACCTCAGCAGGGAGCTCTTTTCCTTCTGTGTCCCAATCAGAGCCTGACTGTAAGCTTTTTAAAGAGACTTAAAACTGACCTGACCAGATTTCAAGTTGAGAATATCTCAGGGGAAATGATCTGTATTGTCAGTCTCTGTAGTGCCTCTTTGAGGAAACCATGGGTTATATATATTTGGTTGCCGCTTTTAACATGTTTATTAAGTGGGTTTTTTGTTTTTGTTTTTTTTTTTTTTGGGTACACGAGCCCCGGTGCGTTTAAGCAGGCTCTGGAGTAGTTGTAAATATCTTTGCTGCTCAGCTGAAACCTTTTGCCCCATATTTTACTCTCAGAAAAAATGGCTTTTTACAGTGGGAAGACTCACCATTTTTCTTCCGTCTCTTCTCTCCAGGCGTCCCTGGTGAAGTTTTCATCTTGTGAAGGCCTCCTCCGTATCCAATACTTTCCGCTCTGGGCAGACTTACTCCTTCAGCCTATAAATTTCCAGTCCAAAGATTTTTTAAGTCCCTGTTTAAATAAAAAGAGACAAATTGTATGATTTTTTTAAGGCTCCAGGAGGGTCAGAACCCTTTAATTAAGCTCAAGGCTTTGAGTATAAAGACAAAGGATTCTCTGGATCAGTCTAGTTATATTAGGACCAAGGACAAAGGGCAGAGAGACTGAGGAAAGTGCAGGCAATGAGCAAGGCCTTGGGAGTCACTTCAAGGACGTCTCCAGGTCATGAATCAAGTTAATTCAGTAGCACTGTCTTATCTTGAAGTCATGGTAGAAGTGAGACTGTAGGAGTGATCTCTGTAGTTGCAGTCCCTAATCTTGTTAATGTTAATTGGGGTTAGAGCCAGAGTATCTGCAGCTGTGGCCTTTTCTTGCCCTTTGAGGTATCTCTGGCCTCATAGGCCACTACAGGCCTCAGCCAGGACCAGTGATTCATAGAGGTTCACTTACTATGAATCAGCTCCCATCGCCAGGCAAAGGGAATAGGCCTAGAACAGATTCACAGAGAAACATAGAAAGTGGTCTCCAACAGATAATGTTGTATTGCTATTCTACGGAGTAAATGATAGATGGGATTTGTCTATGATGTGATAATGTTGTGTTGCTGTACTATCAAGTAAATGCTAGATTGGGTTTTTCTTTTTTTTTCCTATGTACCTGCTAGTTTCCTTTTGCTTCATTTTGATTTTTAGGAGCATACAGGTAGAGAAATATGTCATGTGACTTTCAAAGTAGTATAACATATGAATTTGATAAATATTTTCGGAAGATCAATTTAGGGAAATTAGAGACCCTCTAAATGAAGCCTTCTGTCTATTTACCCCCACTTTCAGTCTGTTATCCTCTCTGGATCTTGGTTCCTATTGGGTGGGCTTTCAATAATCCATATGTGCGAGGGCCCTGGGGTTTTCCTGTCCCTAGTGATGTAGCATTTGTAAGGTTTCTGTGCTAAGGTCTGGTGTAGGATCAGAGGTAACATCTCCATGCCCTTGTGATGAGAGTTGAGATGGGGGTGGTTCTTGAGGAGAATGGGTATGTAAATCCAAGGAGCCTCTGTCAGTTAGTTTTTGCCTGGTTTCTTCTCCAGGATAAAATGGGTGAGCAGAGTGTTTTTTGTCTGTGATGTGAGAAAAATGCAAAGGGTTTTCAGAGAGATGGTCCAGTGTTTCATTGGGGTGTTCTTTTACCAACGGCTCCTATTTGTCATGTTGTTTGGGCTTTTATTTTTCCCTGGTATGTTATAATTAATCTCAAAAATAAATACACATTGATTTTTCTCATTCAGGGATCTTGTGTGACTGGGTTCAAGACACTCCATGTTGCTTCATGTTGAGACAGGAATGCTTGGAGCAGATGATTCTCAAGGCAGATGGCAGGAGAACAGAAAAACAAGCAGAACCATGCATACACTGTGTCTCCTCCTTGGCTTAGAACCATCACATTGCTGTATCTGCCCTGTTTGATTGGATACAGTTGATCCCATTGCCCAGTCAAGTACTTGTGGGAATACTCACACTGGGAAGTTGTGTAGTTCTGGAACAGAGGGCTGTAGATGTATAATTCTGTCAGGGAGATAGTGAAGGGCTATGAACCCAGTCCAGTCCATCACGGCAGTGGAGAATGTTGCCTTTTCCTATTTGTTTCAGGGATATTTCTACAGCAAGAGCTTAGGAGCAGAAATCAGCCACACCAGGTAAAGAACAGAACTTCCAGAATTAGAGCGGTCTAAGGAGATAATAATGAGACCATTTCAGCAGATTCAGCTGCAGCACAATGCTGTCAGGAACTATAAAATAAGGTTTCCTGGAAGAATAGTTTGGAATATATCAGAAATCATGATTACTGTTGGAATCTGAGTTAGTAGCCTAGGAGGTGAAATTGCAAAATATTGTTCAACACTATAAGAGAAAACACCATTACCGTAGGGTAAATGATAATGAGACTTAGTGATCAGGGAATTTAACAAGAATTTTTCAGGTTTTTCAGTGAGGAATTTACCTTCTTAGACTAAATCACATCTTAGTAGCACCTTTTACTTTGATAGAATTCTGTCAGCTTCTCTTTGGAAGCCTTACGCTCTTTTGAGTTAATAGGATCTAAAGATGGACTCAGTCTCCTCAGAGCTTGCCTCACCTGTAGAGCCCCACACAGTTACTACATAAAAGCAAGACTGGCCAGTTGAATGGCTTTGGTGTTTTGATGGGGGATTTATAAGAAGTAGCAGGGAAGTCCTGGAAATTTCACACATTTTATAGGTTTTATTTTGTGGGCAAAGACATGTTTATCTGTTTTGAGCTAAAAGAACACTAAAGAAAGTGGGTTTAAAATGTATAACTTTCGTAGGGACCAAAGATAAATAATATTTAGGGTTAACACTACAGGTAAGTGGAGGGTGCCTGTCTTCTTTACAGCTGTGGGGAACTATGTAACCATACTTATCCTCTGGATTTTTTTGCCTAGGATGTGGGAATGTCAGAAAAACTGGTAAGGTGTAAGGAATCTTCCAACATGCTTTTAGCTGTTAGTTTTAGATCTTTATTAGCTTCTGAGGATTTTCAAGTTTGGGAAGAGATCTGGATAGTTCAGTCAGAATTTTCATGATTTTAGACCCTTGGGTGCTGCCAGTATCAGTGGCATTTATGT